ACGAGACGTACACGAGACGTACAGGAGAAATCGCGTGACGTCCCAGACGAGACGTACACGAGACGTACAGGAGAAACTCGGGAGGCGCAGTCACTTGGTGGCTAACACCTGGGCCATATTTCAACCTCAACAATAAACCCGTTATCCCATTTGCACCGTGACTACCAAACATGTATTGTCTTATGATGCAGAACTGACTGTCCTGGCCGCTCTGGCCTGGCAGACCTGGTAGGTGAGGTGTAGTTACCGAGATCGGGGGGCCGGGGGCATCGGAGTCCTCGCTGCACAGCGAATCTGTGGAAACACAAGTACGGTGCTCGTGACCGACAGTGGGCACGGGGGGTGGTGAGGTGACATCACAGCGCGTGGAGACTCAGCTCAGCACACGGCCACTCTCACGGGCAGCGCAGAGAACAGGACCCGAGGCCAGCGTCCCTGGGGTGGTGACGGTGCCTCACGTGAAGGCCTGTGTTCTCCTAAGCAGCCACGGCACCTCCACTGGGAGCAGCGAGTGCCAGAGCACTACTCGCTGCCCACGGCAGGCTCCCCAGAGAGGACCCCGCTGACGTGGCAGAGCACCGAGGCAGACAGAGGGCCGGCCTGCAGCGCTAACTACAACTGCTGGCCAGCTCGGGGGCAGAGGGGCAGAGACCGCCGGAGAACAGGGGAGGCTCTGCAGGTAAGGAAGACGGATCTGCCCGGGGGGCAGAGAGGCCAGACCCAGGGCCCTGGGACAGGAAGAAAGGTCCCAGTGAGGTCAGGGGTCTAAGAGCCCTGGGTCTGGGCAAGGTGGCGGGCAGGCGAGATGCCCACGAGGCCAGCCTGGCAGGGAAGAGGCAGGGGGCAGGGGTGAGGTCCACGAGGCCAGCCTGGCAGGGAGGAGGGGGCAGGGGTGAGACCCGCAAGGCCAGCCTGGCAGGGAGGAGGTGGGGGGTAGGGGTGAGGCCCACGAGGCTAGCCTGGCAGGGAGGCGGGGGGCAGCGGTGAGGCCCACGAGGCCAGCCTGCAAGGGAGGCGGCGGGCAGGGCAGCAGCAGTCAGAGCTGCTGGGAGCAGCACCCTGGGGTGGGGCGGGGGGACAGGAGCCTCCAGGAGCAGGGCCACCGGCTACAGGGCTGTCGGTGAGCCCAGGGAAGAGACCCCGGGGTTTGAGTCACCAAGGTGGCTGTGGGAACGGAAAGGCACTGGGGGCAGATCTGGTGACTGTCAGAGTATTGGGGGTGGCGACACGCATGTGCCCCAGGGCTCCTCCTACCCTGAGGAGGATCACGCCACGCCACCCACACCCCTTCTCCCACGACAGCCCTCTGCGTGCGCCCAGCACAGGGCCCAGGCTGGAGCCACGCAGAGGAGGGGACATACACGGGGAGGGCCACTGGACCAAGGGCCCAGACAGCAGGCGCTCAGCACGCAGCCAGCAGGTGCAGTGGCTCATGAAGGAGGGAGGGCCGCAGACCACCCCCGTGTGGGCTCAGGGGAGGCCTGGTCTGGGCAAGAAGCAGGGCCCGTGGCGGGGAACACAGTTATGTAACAGAGAGAAGGCCGAGGCGCGCTGAGGGCGGACTGGGAGGCCAGACCGCACAGGAGCTCACCTGCGTCAGAATCCGAGTGGAGGCTTGACTCTGAGAGCTCCGCGCCGAGGCCCGAGGAGCTGGGGTCCAGGATCCTCTCCAGCTCCCGGATCTCCTGTGCGATCTTCTCTCTCTCCGCATCAGCGTCCATGGCCCCTCCTGCTTCCACGGGCATCTGCGACGGGAGAAACGGCACAATCCCTGGGCCCCCGGAGGGACCGCACACCCAGCAAGCCAGCCCTGTCGGAGCCCACACCCCACACGGCTGCTCCTCACTCTGCAAGGATTGGAGCCACGTGGGGCAGGAGACGTACACTGGGGTGGCTCACGGCCAGCCACCGCAAGTTGGTCACCCAGTGCAGAAAGAGCGGGTGTGGTGGCCGGGACACCAGCGGACAAGGACGAGGCCCTGGACCCCGGGAAGTCCAGAGCTGGACACGGGTATGTGTGGATGTTCACATTCACAGAAGCAGACCCGCCCGGGGACAGACTGGGGGCAGGGTCCTGTGTGTCATGCACGTGCTGCCTCCAGCCCTCACACAGCGTCTGCACGGGGAGTGTCTGACACCCACAAATATCTGCTGAAGGACCAGAAACCTTCTTTCTTAGGAACGCTGGTCTAGAAGTCTGCGGCGGTAGACAGCTAAGAGGACAGCAGGGAGGGAGCATAAGGCATGAACAGGAGACACATGGGCTAGAAACAGCGAAGCAAAATCCCCTCACAGGGCCCTCCCTCCCACAGTCCCATTCTGGCCTCTCACTCTTCCCAAGGGGGCAAGAAGGCCAAGAACCGCCAAACTGGCCCTGCTAGGGACATCGAGTGCTGACGCTACGCTGCGGCCGTGGCCTGAACACAGGAGCTTCGTGGAGCTGGTGAGGATGGGGAGAACCCGAATGGGGGGCCATGCCCAGACTCCCGCCTCGCTGGGTCTTGTCCAGTGGGACAAACGAACGCACCATCAATGGGAAACACCCTTTGGCTTCATCAGAACACAGCTCCCCCCATTCCTGGACAAGGTGCTCTATTGATACTCAAATATCTGCAAACTGAACTCAACTAAGAGCCAACCAGCTCTGCAGAACGAGCCAGAAACTACACATAGGTTCAAGGATGCTGTTTGCTCCAGACAGGCGGGGGAGGAAGCTTCCCTTTGGAAGCTGGCCTGGAGAGAAGGCACTTTGGGTTCTGAAGACAGCTCCCCCCCCCCCACCACACGTAGCTCAGGTGAGCCAGAACAGTAAGCAGAAGGTTAGTCACAAGCTCAAGTCGTGAGTCGGTAGTTCCCTGATCACAAGCCACCTTCCGGATTCACTGCCATCCGTTGGGATGGCGCCTCCAGCCAGTCAAGGGTGTCCACCCACACCTGCCTATCTGTGTCTTTTCTCCCCGCACTCTCTAACAGATGAGCGTGGGGGGACACCCAGGGCAACGTCCCCAGAGGCCTTCCATCCAGGACGCCCGCGAGCAGAGCACGCCCCGCTCCAGCGCGATGCTGACCAAGCGCCTACCCAGTGCAGCCGCTCCCGTTCGCCGCTGGGCCTAAAACCCAGGGCAGCCACTGGTGCGTCAGCGGGCGTGGGGGTTAACGGCACCGGGTTGGGAGCAAACCCGGTCCCAATCCAGTTCTGCCAGCCTCGGCCGCTGCGTCTGTAGAGCGGGGTGCGCACGGAGATGGGGCGCGCCGGCATCACCGACACGCGCGCAGCGCCGAGCGGGCTCGGCAGACGGGCCTGGACAGCCGTCAGCCTCGGAGACTGGGCATGGGCGGCTTCCTCTCCGCCCAGCCTCCCGGGGCGGGCCGTGGCCGTCCCACCGAGAGCCTCTCCGGGCGGCTCCGCCGGCTCACGCCCGGCCTCCCGGGCGTCCCCACTGGAGGGCGCGGCCACGCTGAGCCTCAGCATCCCGGGCACCGGCGCGCTGCCCTGCCCCCTCCCCGGCCGTCCGCGTCTCAGGACAGCGCCTCCTCCGCGGCGACAGCCCAGAGCTGCCCCGTCCCACGCCCGCGGAGACCCGGGCAGCCTCACCTGCCCGGCCGCCAGCTTCGTCGCCCGGGTGACCAAAACCGGGCGCTTCCGGCGGCTGCAGAACTCGAGCGCCGCGGCCCGGAAGTCCCTCCTCCTGAGTGCCAGAAATCTCCTCTCCTGAGTGCCGGAAGTCCCGCCTCCTGCGGGCGAGGCACGCTGGGACGGATCGCTACGCCCAGGCCAGACCCTAGAGGCGAGGCGGCTAGTGCTGCCCCCGCGCGGCCGCCCGGGCTCAGCGCGCTCGGAGGCGGGCGGCGGAAGGCGGCCCCAGCCCGCGGGTCCCAGGCCAGCTCCGAGTCCACCGGCCGTGTGGCTGCCACTGAACCTCCCTGGACCCGTTTCATCGTTGTTGTTAGGTGCTGTCGAGTCGATTCCGGCTCATAGCGATACTGTGTACAACAGAAAGAAACACGTCCGGGGCCTGCACCGTCCTCACCATTCTTGTGCTTGAAGCCAATGTTGCAGCCACTGTGTCCATCCATCTGGTTGAGGGTCTTCCTCTTTTTCGATGACCCTCTACTTTACCAAGCATGATGTCCTTCTCCAGGGACTGATCCCTCCTGATAACATGTCCAAAGTATGTGAGACGTAGTCTCGCCATCCTCGCTTCTAAGGAGCATTCTGGCTGCACTTCTTCCAAGACAAATTTGTTTGTTCTTCTGGCAAGTCTGTGGTATATTCAATATTCTTGCCAACACCCTAATTCAAAGGCATCAATTCTTATTCGGTCTTCCTTATTCATTGTCCAGCTTTCACATGCATATGAGGCTACTGAAAATATCATGGCTTGGATTAGGTGCACCTTAGCCCTTAAAATGACATCTTTCCTTTTTAACACTGTAGAGAGGTCCTTTGCAGCAGACTTGCCCAATGCAACGCGTCCTTTGATTTCTTGACCAATGCTTCCATGGGCGTTGATTGTGGATCCAAGTAAAATGAAATCCCTGACAACTTTAATATTTCCTCCATTTATTGTGATGTTGCTTATTGGTCCAGTTTCGAGAATTTTTATGTTGAGGCTAGGAGGACATAACCATAATAAATACTTATGCCCCCAACGACACGGCTCCAAAATACACAAAACAAACTCTAATAGCATTGAAAACAGAAATAGACACTGCCACAATGATAGTAGGCGACTTCAACGCACCACTTTGGGTGAAGGACAACATTCAGAAAGAAGGTCAGTAAAGACACGAAGATCTAGATGTCACAACTTGATCTCGTAGACGTATACAGAGCACTCCACCCAACAGCAGCCAAGCATACTTTCTTTTCCAATGCATGTGGAACATTCTTTATGTTGAGGTGTATTCCATACTGAAGGCTGTAGTATTTGATCTTCATTGGTAAGTGCTTCGAGTTCTCTCCACTTTCAGCAAGCAAGGTTGTGTCATCTGCATATCACAGGTTGTTAATGAGTCTTCCTCCAATCCCGATGCCCTGTTCTTCTTAGTATAGTCGAGCTTCTTGAATTATTTGCTCAGTGTACAGACTGAGTAACTATGGTGAAAGGATACAATCCTGACGTACACCTTTCCTAATTTTAAACCATGCGACATCCCCTTGTTCTGTTCGAAAAATTGCCTCCTTGTCTACAGGTTCTGCATTAGCACAATTAAGTGTTCTGGAATTCCTATTCTTTGAAATGCTATCCACAATTTGTTATGATCCACACAATCAAATGCTTTTGCATAGTCAATAAAACACAGGTAAACATCTTCCCGGTATTCTCTGGTTTCAGCCAAGATCCATCTGACATCAAATGGTATCTCGTTCCACATCCTCTTCTGAATCCGGCTTGAATTTCTGACAGTTCCCTGTGGATGTACTGCTACAACTGCTTTTGAATTATCTTCAGCAAAATTTTACTTGTGTGTGATATTGTTTGATAATTTCCACATTCTGTTGGCTCTCCTGTCTTTGGAATGGTCATAAATATGGATTTCTTCCAATTGGCCAGATAGCTGTCTTCCAAATTTCTTGGCATAGATGAGTGAGCACCTCCGGTGCTGCATCCATTTGTTGAAACATCTCAACTCGTAGTCCCTCAGTTTCTGGAGCCTTGTGTTTTGCCAATGTCTTCAGCGCAGCTTTGACTTCTTCCTTCAATACCATTGGTTTTTTGATCATATGTTACCTCCTGAAATGGTTGAACATTGACCAGTTCTTCTTAGTACAGTGACTCTTTGTATTCCTTCCATCTTCTTTTGATGCTTCCTGCATTGTTTAATATTTTCCCCCAAAGAATCCTTCACTATTGCAACTCCAGGCTTGAAATTTTTCTTCAGTTTTTTCAGCTTGAGGAATGCCGAGCGTGTTCTTCCTTTTTGGTTTTCTAACTCCAAGTCTTTGCACATGTCGTTATAATACTTTACTTTGTCTTCTCGAGCTGCTCTTTGAAATATTGTTTAGCTCTTTTACTTCATCATTTCTTCCATTTGCTTTAGCTGCTGTACATTAAAGAACAAGTTTCAGAGTCTTCTGACATCCATTTTGGTCTTTTCTTTCTGTCTTTTTAATGACCTTTTGTTTTCTTCATGTATGATGTTCTTGATGTCATCCCACAACTCGTCTGGTCTTCGGTAATTAGCGTTTAATGCGTCAAATCTATTTTTGAGATGGTCTCTAAATTCAAGTGGGATATACTTAAGGTTGTACTTTGGCTCTCGTGGACTTGTTTTAATTTTCTTCCGCTTCAAGTTGAACTTGCATATGAGCAACTGATGGGTCTGTTCCGCATTCGGCCCCTGGCCTTGTTCTAACTGATGAGATACTGAGCTTTTCCATCATCTCTTTCCACAGATATAGTCAATTTGATTCCTGTGTTTCCATGCGGTGAGGTCCTCGTGTATAGTCGCTGTTTATGTTGTTGAAAAAAGGTACGATTTGCAATGAAGACGTCACTGGTCTTGCCGAATTCTATCATTCATCTTCAGCGCTGCTTCTATCACAGGGCCCTATTTTCCAGCTCCTGATCCTTCGTCTTTGTCTCCAACTCTCCCATTCCAATCAGCAGTGATTATCAATGCGCCCTGTTTGCATGTTTGATCAATTCCAGACTGCGGAAGTTGGCAAATATTTGCAATTTCCTCTTCTTTGGCATTAGTGGTTGGTGCGTAAATTTGAATACCAGTCGTATTCACTGGTCGTATTAACGGAAGTGTGTGGATGTCAGCCTATCACTGGCAGCACTGTACTTTAGGATGCATCTTCAGATGTTCTTTTTGTTGATGAATGTGACGCCATTCTTCAATTTGTCATTCGTGGCATAGTGGAGCATGACTGTCTGGTTCGAAATGGCCGACACCAGCCCATTGCAGCTCACTAATGCCTAGGCTAGCCACCTTTATGTGATCCATTCCATTTCTGATAACTTACAATCTTTCTAGATTCATACTTCATACATTTCATATTCCGATTATTGATGTTTGCAGCTGTTCTTTCTCATTTTGAGTCGTGCCACATCCACAAATGAAGGTCCCGAAAGCTTGACTCCATCCATGTCACTGAGGTTGTTTCTACTTTGAGGAGGCAGCTCAAAGTAGTATTTGGAGTGCCTGCCAACCTGAGGGGCGCACCTTTCGGCGCTGCATCAGACAACGTTCCCCTCTTACTCAGAAGGTTTTCAATGGCAAGTTTTTTCTGAAGTAGGACCGTTGGGTCCGTCTTCTAGACTGTCTTGGTCTGGAAGCTCTGCTGAAACCTGTCCACCATGGGTGACCCTGCTGGTATTCGACATTCCGGTGGCAGGGCTTCCAGCATCACAGCAACACATAAGCCACCACAGTACAACAACCTGACAGACACATGGTGGCTGTTTCCACGATCAGTGACAAAATCAAGTGTCAGTGGTGTTGGCTGGCTAGTTGACCGTCGTGGCCTCATCTCCAGGCCAGGGGCACGCCTTCAGGACGGAGGCATCTCTCGGGGGCCTGCCTCACAGACCTCACCTCACTACGTGCCCACACCTGGGGATGATGCGTGTCTGCCCAGAGCCAGGCTGGGGTCTGGGAGCCGGCTGTGAGGAGTGTGAGGGCCAAGGTGGCAGACAGCATCGCGGGGCAGAGCGGCAGGCAGGGATCCCGGCCCGGGGACAGCAAGGCCATGCCCCTGGGGTGATGCTGGCGCTGGGTTCGAGGCCTAAGACTCCTGCCCACCTCAGCCTCCACCTTCGGGGCTGCAGCCCAGCTCGCCGGGAAGAACCTGGTCCCAGGCTCGGGAGTCCCTTTTTACCCTCCCACCCTCTTGGCTGGCACTGCCTCCCCCTACCCATTTCCTTATTTTAGGGATCCTCGAAATCTCCCAAGTCAGCAGGCACAGCTGAGCGCCCCGTCGTGGGGCTCCCAGGGTGTCAGGAGCCTTCTCCCGCAGAGGGAGAACAGGCGCAGGATGAGGGCATGTCCAGGCCTGTGCTGGGAGCACAGGAGTCCGTTGACAGGGTTGTCTCCTGGGCACATCCGGCCAGGGCTAGGGCATGCTTACCTCCCGCAGTGCCAGGCCTGTCGGCCAGTCCACTTGCTTACCCCCACAGGCACCCCTGCTGCCTCCCAGTCCCCCGTCATGCCTCCTGTGCTCACAGTTGGAGCTGGCTGGAATGTAGGGTCAGTGGGTGGGCACTCTGGGAGGCCACCCCGCTTCAGACCCAACTGGGCCAGGGGTATGTGTGTGTGGGGCCCACACAGCACACTGGACAGGCCTGGTGAACTGTCTTGCATAGGCCCTGGGGTGCCGTCTTACTCAAAAACGAGGCGAGAGACTGAAGTACCTTGGCAGGTACTCTGAAACATTACTAACGCAGCTACGGCACATCATGAGACGGATTCTGAAACCTGCTAACTCTAACGTAAAAGTCGAAGCCAGGGTAATACTGTGCCTCTACGCAGGGCCTCTGGGGTCCTGAGGGTACCCTCCCTGGCTGCCCCAGGCCTGCCTTTCAGGGTTGAGAGGTCATGTGTATGCCCAGAAGAGAACTTCATTCTGGCACTTTCTACCAGATCACACCACCTGAAGTCTGTTAGAAAAAAGAAACAGAACCCAGTTCTCACCAACAGACATGACGTGGGGTGAGTGTGGGGTAAGCTGAGGGATGGGTTCGATGAGGACTTTCGGAAACCTGACCTTTACCTGTAACTAGGATCAGAAGGTCTACCAGTTTAAACACCTTGTTTGAAAACATAACCAACCGCATGATCTCAAAAAACCCAACATGTCCATGCAAATCGTGTTGGGCACTGCAGCCAGGCCAAGGCAGCAGAGGTCCAGGACTGAACGTGGCCCCTGACTCTCCCGCCGCTGACCGCGGTGTCCACTTCCCAGCGCCAGTCATGGTATGACAGGAGCAGACAGGATGCCTGCCCGACGTTAGACTCCTCATGCTTGAAGAACTGACCGAGTCAGGGAGAAAAGCAGACCGGTGTTATGAACTTTGGAGTTTATTAAATAGGAAAGCCGTCCGTTCAAACAGGACAGAAACAGGAAATGCATTTAAAAAAGACAGTTATCTCCAGAAAACCAGCCAAAGAGGTGTACGAGTGCATGCCAAGACCTTCCCTGCTGGAAAGCTCCAGAAAGGCACCCTGGAAGACCGCACGCTCACCACAAGGCTCTGGACTTGTGTCAAATTCCTAAATCCTGACTTCACTGTACAAAATGCCACGTGAAAAGTGTCTCAACACTCCAGCCCACAATGCTCATCAAAGCCTACAGAGGTGGTTCACACCACTTGTCACGGGGCTCTCCGTGGACGGCCCCTGCAGAAGGGACAGCAACGTGCACTGAGAGGCCTTCCGCCCAGAGCTGCAGGTGCTGGAGTGACACTCGTGGGGGCCTGTCAGGTCAGAGGACGCTCCACGGGACACGCAGGGGCCCGAGCCCCAGCCCACGCCTGCCGTCTGTATCAGGGCTCGTTTAGCATTGTCCTCTACTTAATCAAGGCCAACCAACTGAACATCCTTACAGTTAGTGTTCTGGGGGGAAAACGGAAAACACTAATACAGAACTGCTCTTTTCAGGTTTAGTAATTTTAAGAAAATCAGTGGCTTTCATAAAAGTTCCTCCAATCAGGCGCTTGAGTCTACGAGCCCCGTGCAGCTCACCAGCAGGCTCCATGTAAACCGCGGGGCAGCCCACTCGCCTCTGCGCCCTCGCTGCCAGCAGGCCCTCACCGCGCGGGCGACAATACTGCTGCGGGTCACGGAATTAGCTATCGTGATAAATATCTTTACTACGGGTGAGAACTGCACATCGAAAGACACAATCGCATCTCTACAGAAAGCAAGCAGTGATTTCAGGATGCAAACAGCTTTGAGGATGCAAACAGCTTTGAGCTGGATGCGTTTCCGGTCCTCAGGACTCCTCCTCCTCCTCGTCTTTAATCTCAGAGATTCTGTCGATAGATTTCAAGATTTCAGCAACGAGGTTCAACGTTTCAGCTCCAGAAACCAGCTGCCTAAAATGAAAACAGGTATCATGAAGTGTTTGCACAACTGTTCAAGAGCAACAGCACACATACTAAAGCAAAGAATCCCTGAATTTCTCCCAGCCCAGTGGGAGGCAGCAAATCATTACGCTTAAGACCAATGGTGGCACTCCTGAGAGTTTACCTAGGGGCCCTCTATGACTTTATTTACGTTTTACAAGAAACCCTTGTCCTCCAGTCGATTCTGATTCATAGTGACCCTATAGGAAACAAAAGAACCGCCCCATAGGGTTTTTAAGGCTGTAAATCTTTACAGAAGCAGACTGTCACAACTTTCCCCCATGGAGCGGCTACTGGGTTTGAACCACCGATCTTTCGGTGAGCAGCCAAGCACTGCGCCACCGCGTCACCACAGCTCCTCTACCACAAGAGATAGACTATTATTCCCTCTAATTCAGAACTTCAGTGTCTGGTAAGTGAAGGAACTGGGAGGCAAAGCTCTCTGGCATTAGGGCCCACGCCGCCCAGGTAGAAATAACTATCGTACGGCAGAAAGCTAAGCCCGCTGGTCTCACACACACTGTGTCACCTCCAGGGTCATCGTGACACCAGGCACCAGATATGAAGGCCACTCACAGCCACCTCCCCCGCCTGCACAGCCAGGTCCCCGGGACTCACTTTATGGACGCGTGTGCGTTGCTCATGACGACGCGGAGATTCTGCAAGGCCAGGTCAGTGTTCTGCTTCACCACGGTCAGGCTGGCACCCTGGCCGCACCGCAGGGCTTCGTTCTCTCGCTTGAAGTTGGAGACCTGCGCCTTGGGGGAGGGGCCGGTCAGGGCAGGACATTAAGAACCTTCACGGATGAACGGAGGGTATTTTAAAGGCAGCCCAACGGAGCACAGACGCGTCACCCTTGGCGTGACCCACGGAGGGCTATCATAACTGCGGGGGCCCTCCTCAGGTACGATCAGTTCTGTGCCGTCGACTCTGACTCACGGAAGCCCCACGAGTCAGAGTAGAACTGCTCATAGGGTTTTCAATGGCTAAAGGTGGATTGCCAGGCCTTGCTCCCAAAGCACCTCGGGGCAGACTCGAACCTCCGGCCTTTCAGCTAGCAGCCAAGCAAGTTAACCGTCTGCATCACTCAGGGACGTCCTCCTCAGGTCAATGGGGCCTAAATACCCCATTCGCTTCAGACCTCACCCTCAAGCTCCACCCGACAGCACCTGAATCTAAGGAAATGAGGCACCCTTGTGATAGAGGGCCCCCCGGACAACAAAGACCGGGACTTTCTCGCTGAGCCAAAGCAGCGGGGCCAGGCCTCGCGCCTCCCTGGATGGAAACCCCACCGCCCTGAGGTGAGGGCTGCGTCTGCACAGCCGAGGCGAGGAAGAACTCACTCCTCCACGTGTCCGTGATGCCACAAGTCAGAGAAACACGCGCCCTTTCCTACAGTTACCTGGAGCAAACTGACTTCCTGTTTCAGCTTCAGGATGTGATTTTCTGCCTTCACAGCCCGTTTCTGTGAATACAAAGGGCATCGCTGACCTCGGAACACTGGTCTGGGACATGTCCTGTGACGCAGAGCGCAGAAGCCCCTCCAGGGCCCCTCTGACCAGCTCCCACTCCTCCCTCCACAGTGACTAGCCCCTCTGTCACTGATGACCTCTGGGACTGCCCCCAGAACCCTCCCCCCGCCCCAGTCAGAGCTCCAGGTGCTGGACGACACAGTGCCCAGGGACAATGGTCCACTTGTGTCCGGCACTGACAGCAGCGTGTGCAGACTCCCAGCATGGCCTTGGCCTGCCCAGTGCAAACTGCGCTCTCCTCTAAGGGAGCTCGGGTGTGCCCAGTACCCGCCTGCACTGGGTCAGAGAAACAAAGCTGCCTCGTACGGTCATCAGCTCGAGGTTCTGCTCCACCTGCTGGACCACAGACTCCAGGTCGCGGTAGTCGCTCTCCTCCCTGATCATCTTTGCTTCCAGTTTCCGTTCAAGTGTCCTTACCCTGGTTAAAGAAAAGACAAGGGTTACCGGTAACTCCCGCGACGAACGTTAAGGATGCTTCTAAAAGGCATTTCCACAGATTACAGAGCTAGCTACTGTGAATCCCTGGCTATAGAAGGGACCTCAGGTCAGGGTGCAAGGACAGAGGGACAGGACTGAGCTCTGTGACTCCAACACTGAGTCGGCTCGAGTTTGGGTTTCAGTAAACGCTGATACAGAACACGATACGCGTGATCGATACTGAGGGCGTTCGTACAACAAAGGCCAGGCTCGCTCCACTCCGGCCTCGGCCCGGGATGTACCGTGAACTCCCTGGAATGCTAGAAGGCATTCTCAGTGGTCCCTAGCTGAAAGCTTACATACATTTCTGTTTGAGTTTCAGAGAAGTTCTGAACCTCATTCAGCTTTCTTCTTAGCTTAGAATTTTCATCTTTCAGCTGCAGAGAAAGAAAATCCTCATTAGAAACTCAGTGGGTCTCACCCAGAGGGGTCTGCCCCTGTGCGGTCTGGCTCTGGGGCTTCGTGGCAAAAACACCCAGGCCGAGAAGGCAGCACTCTGACAAGGTGGGAGAGCAGCTGCGAGGCCTGGCCATGTGGGAAGGCCAGGCCATGTGGAAGGCCAGGCCGTGTGGGAAGGGCCTGCTTTCCAAAGGCCAGTGTCATGGATGCCCACTGTACCTGTCCCTTATACTTGTTTTAGTTATTTTAAATGTTCTCACTCAGAACACTTTCCAAACTGTCCCTGAGCTGGTGGCTCCAGCCAACCCCGTTCTGAGGGCGTAGCCCTTTAAGGGTCCCTGAGCTGGTGGCTCTAGCCGACCCTGTTCTGAGGGCGTAGCCCTTTAAGGGTCCCTGAGCTGGTGGCTCCAGCCAGCCCCGTTCTGAGGGCGTAGCCCTTTAAGGGTCCCTGAGCTGGTGGCTC